AGAGTCAATGAAGAGTATCTTAGTAACCTGTGATTCGCTGATTGCACTGCCTCAATGAGTAACTCAGGGGACGAAGTAAAGCTCATGAATACTGAACTGGACCCGGGAAGCAAAAGAGTTGGTCTGAAAATTAGAATGAAAAAACTAAAGTAATGTGCAACACTCTCGGCAGAAAGCAGCACTTTGCGATTGGTGGAGAGATGCTGTAAGTAGTAAAGGAATATGTCTACTTAGGACAGTTAGTTAACCGCGTAGCCGAACCATGAGAGTGAAATAACTGGAAGAATGGGGTATAGGTCACATTCGGCAAGCATTCTCAAATAATGAATGGCAATCTGCCACTAACCCTGACGAGGAGTATATATAACAGCTGCATGTCGACAGTACTTACTTACGAAGCAGAAACTGGGAGGCTTACAAAGAAGGTTCAGCTTAAATTGAGGATGACGCAGCGACCGATGGAAAGGAAAATGATAGGTGTAACCTTTAGAGAGAAGAGCAGAGTGGGTCGTGGAACAAACAGCGGTTAAGGATATCATAGTTGAAACCAAGAAGAAGAAATGGACATGGGCCGGGCACGTAGCACGTAGACAGGACAACCGCTGGTCATTAAGGGTAACTGACTGCATTCCCAGAGAGCCCCGCCACGGTGGTCTAGTGGCTAAGGTACTCGTGACTGCTGACCTGCAGATCGTGGGTTCGAATCCCGGCTCCGGCGGCTGCATTTCCGATGGAGGCGGTAATGCTGTAGGCCTGTGTGCTCAGATTTGGGTGCACGTTAAAGAACCCTAGGTGGTCGAAATTTCCGGAGCCCTCCACTTCGGCGTCTCTCATAATCATATGGTGGTTTTGGGACGCTAAACCCCACATATCAATCATAGATTTCCAGAGAAGGCAAGCGCACGAAGGGGAGACAGAAAGTTAGGTGGGCCGATAGGATTAAAACGTTTGCGGGTATAACGTGGCGACGGAAAGCACAAGACCTGGTTGGTTGGCAGATTATGGGAGATGCATTTGCCCTTCAGTGGGCGTAGTCAAGCTGATAGTGATGGTAGTGTACAGACGATGCGATGACATCAGCTCGCAGCCCCGCGTCGTGTACGAAATGCCGTTTCAGTGTGGCTCTGCGGGAGCCGATAAGGTGTAGAGAAATTTCATCTGTATGCCGATCGCTACACTTCAGCAAAGCACCGCTATCTTTACGCCGCGTAATTACATTTACAGAATACTGATGTTGGAAAACAAATTAGGTGGGTATTTCGCCAATACTAATTGACGAAAAAATCTCGCCATATATCCACGGAATGGATGATTATAAGTGGGCGAAGCGTGAGAGGGAGGAGATCATCGCTAAACCGTAATTCTTCCGTGAATGTTGGCTTTCAATCTGAGTTATTCGCAGCCGTCGCAAACGCAGCTGCGCAATGCCAACACACTCGGCTGCTAATTTCAAACGACGACCGTGCTGGCTTCCCGTGAAAGTCACCGCTAGAAAGATTGATTGATTGATATGTGGGGTTTAACGTCCCAAAACCACTATATGATTGTGAGAGACGCCGTAGTGGAGGGCTCCGGAAATTTAGACCACCTGGGGTTCTTTAACGTGCACCCAAATCTGAGCACACGGGCCTACAACATTTCCGCCTCCATACCGCTAGAAAGACGTAACACTGTGTGCATATTATACAAATCAACTTTTATTTTGTTCTTGTTTTCAAATGATGTTTATAATCAGTCAAGTGGTAGATCGGTGATGGGGTGTAGTGGAATGTTTGCAAGGGCGAGGTAGTGGGCAGTTTGCTAAGGTGCACACAGGACCACCGGCCTTAGGAACTTCGCCCCAAATAATTACCTCATATAGTGCGATGCACACCTAGGAAAACGCATTCCAGTGAAATGTGAGGGCTTGTTTTGCGCTGTCGTGAACGTGCGTAGCTTTCAAAGGGAGGACTATCTTTGCCACAAAATGCACACTCCATCCAAAGATGTCCCGGACAAAGGCGTGAATATATTGGCACGTGTGAAGAAATTAAGCATGTGTGTGTCTAGTGAAGAAATTAGGTGCCCTGTAAGCAATATTAGGAAGTTTACGAGAAGATTCGCCTCCTTTGTTTAGCGCATCGAATCAGTTTATGAAGCGAAGCTTAATTACGTGGACCTTATTATTAACTGTACCTTTGAAATCTGTGCAGTCTTTGCGCAAGCAGTGGAAAAACAGGCGAAAAATTACTGCTCCTGTAAGCGCGCGACGTTGCCGTCTCGAATCGGTCGCTGGTGTGCGGAGCGAGGAAGTTGCACAGCGCCAATGTTGCCAGATGCTACTGAGCTAACAAGCAAAAGAAGCGGATATTCAAAGAAAAGTCCCATATATTGAAAATATTTCATATAAAAATGTAACTTAAGTACGAAGCGGGATGTGACTAATTAGTCTGCGCAGAGAGAATATGCGCTGAACGAATGCACATTTTTACTATTGTCTTCGGGGTTGAGGGCACATTTGCCACCTTTTCTTGAACAAAAAACCGGCCCTTTTATGGAGATTAAAGTAGTGTTGAACGATAGACGCCATGTCACGTCTGTTGCATGCAGTGCCGTTTAATGTAAGCATTGCTTTGCTTGACACAAATAAACCTGGTATGCTAGACAAAATGGCAGACTGAGCTAACATACTGGTCTAAGTGCTGGCATAAAACTACCATTGATTAGAAGACGATTCGTTTATTGCTCTGAAAAAAAAAAAAACAGCCAACGACGGCGGGTGTGGACCGGCAACCTGCCCGCTGTCATCGGCTGAGCCGGTCTGAAACCAGACTCAACCCAATCGCCAGCGCATGATTAACCATACTTGTTGATTATTTTCGACTTCAACACTTAACTACTAGCAACGTTTTTAGATAGACTACTAGTCACCGAGAAACGTGCAATTTGTGAACGATCGCCAAAATAACTGCTTGCTGGGAAAATGTAAATAAGAAAGAAAAAGCAATAAGTGATCAGAAAATTCTGCAAGCGACTCAGCGAATTTCTAAAACAAGCCCAATCCGCTCATTAAAAACGCGGGCCCCCGCAAGGAGGCGTTTCGTCTCGACCATGGAGCTTCTTCACTTCCGCGAAGAATATTGTCAAAGCAAGTGGACTTGTCGCCAAGGCAAGCATGGATCATCACTAAACTGCGCCGCCGAGCACAAAGAAAAAAAAAAAGGCGATGCCACAGAAGGCAGCAAAAGCATCTCCAACGACCCTTACTGAGAAGAAGAGAATGCGGAAAATACTCCGAAGTATAATTGCATTAATAATTTCTTTTCTCCCTCTTAAAGCTGAGTTAAATTACCTTACAAATGGCGGCTGGCTGAAAGTAATGACTTTTTAAATGACTATTATTTTTAAACTAAAATATAGTTACTCCAACTATTGTTCATCATTGGTGCACTAACCCATGTTCACTTTATTTACAGAACGTGCACGTTGAAATCTGAGATATCTTACTTCAAGTTTTCACGTTTCAGCACTCGGATGAACGTGTCTTTATAATTTTTCTTCTCTACCCTTAATCATTTCTTTACGCCATAAGGAAAGCCTGCGGACGTGTTTTCAGACGTAGCAGAGAAGGTTTAAATAGGTAACCAGCCTTAAAAGAAAACAGTGACGTCCGAAGCTGGACGAGCGCTAAAGTGCGTGGGAGTGCATCAGTCTGAAGCGCATGTGTTAGCCTGAAATATTAAACTTGAGGGTACAGTGTCTTTTCCCTGCCCTCTTTTGTCTCTTGCGGCGGTTCATAATGCGAAACCGCTCGCTGCTCAGAATCAAACTCTTGATGGCGAAGACCGATCACGCGAAGTAGACGTCCGCTTTCTCAACCGTTCCCGCGTCACTGCAAAAAAAAAAGAAAAAAAAAAGAAAGAAAGAAGGGAGACCTGGCTTCGTTTCTAAGAGTTGAACGTGATAGCGATATCTTATCTCTAGTGCGTACTGTCTTAGAAATCGCATGTGTCAGCGAAGATTTCGCGTACGGCTGCATTCTGTGTAATGGGTGTCATGATTGAAACCACGGAAACCTTTTTGAGCTTGTTATCTACCAACAAATACGTGGCCAAGGCGCAGCAACGTTTGTGATTTTTGTAGGCCCGCTTTAAACCATCAAGTCATGATAATCGCATGTTCTGACGCAATGTACGCTTGTACCACGCGTTATTACTACGATATTACATGTTGCATTGCGAAGCATGCATACAGGATGCGTTTGTCTGTGTAGTATGCTGGTCACTTTCACTGCATTTACAAGCAGAGGAAGTTATTTGCATTGTATTTCCATGCAGACGCGTCGCTCGGTGGTAGAACACCCGTCTTCCGTGCAAACGACCCGGTCTCACTCAGGCAGAAAATTTTTTTATTAATTATTTTAATTGCATCTTTGTCGATTTTTCACGTCACGCGCAAAATGATGATTTTTTGATCACAACAAACGACGCCGACAGCGGAGTTACAGCAAAACAAGCTCTTTAACGGTAGACGAAGAAAGTGCTTAACAGCGCAAACGACAGGAGGGGATAGAAGGGACGAGAACAGAGCGCTGATCTCAGCACTCTGTTCTCGTCTCTTCTATCCCCTCGTGCCGTTTGCGCTGTTAAGCATTTTCTTCGTCTACCATGCAGCACCAACCAGCCCTAATCAAGCACCTTGTTAAAGCTGTTTAACGTTCTCGCGTTAATAAAGGTGGCGCCTGCTCTGCAGAAACGTTAATGTTGCAGGCCTCGCTGCGGGAACGAGCGTCAAGTCGATAATAAGCGCGCACGCCATCTGAAGCGGAATTGCGCTGCTAGAACATTGAACGAGATCGTTCCTGCTCGTGTCATAGCACGATTGCGAATGCAGCCACGAATCACGTCATAAGCTTGGCTTCCTTCATGGACGGAAGCGAGCTGATATACTTTCTGAGATGTCCGGGCCACGTCACCGGGGCAAGATAGGAGGATAGCCAGCAAGCATGACGAAAGCCTTGCGACGATGATGCGGCGCGGCGGCCGAAGATCACGAAGAAGCGTGTCGGTGCATAGAGAATTGGCCGCTGCGAACGCCGCCGCCGCTTCTGGAAGTTTGGCGACCTTGGTTGGCTGCCCCCTCTCCCTCGTGGCCGTTGAAAAGGCAGACGCGCGGCCGGCGGTGCGCCAGACGAGTGCCGGCTCCGTTGCGTGTTGTCGCAGTATGGCTCGAGTTGTGTGGCTGTTGGTGGTCGTGTGTGCCTCCGCATCGCTAGCCATCGAGAGGGAGGGCGACTCGTCAGAGAGAGAAGGAAATGAGCCCAGACGGGGCGGACGCTTTTTCAACGCCTTCTTTACGCCTTACCTGCAACCCAGGTGAGATGTCTGCTGCTGCAAAATTTAATGAGACTGGTAGCCGTATCTTATCCACCCTCGATTCCAGTCGATGTTATCGCCATGCTTGTACTCCTCAAGAATCGGGAGATTTCTGCGGCTTACGTCCTCGAGACAATCCGGGAAAGAACACAAAAAACATTTTTTTAAGAGTGAGTTCAGCCATCGAAAATATCAACAGCTCCCGCAGGGCACCCGAGATTACAATCTCGCATCAGTAATTATGTACGTTCAAAATATTGTTTGGGCCCCACAAATTGAAATTGAGAGTAAACAGTGGGGGCACGAAAGAGCGCGCTTTGGTTGACACGTTCTTAAATATGGTTTGCAGTGACGTCACTTAAACCGCCGTGTTGGTGCATGTGGGGTCGGGATATCTGTGACGTCACATTGACCCTGTCAAAACACCGTTTCTTAGTTCGCGTATTGGCCCTGTCGCGTCGTTTTCACATCGACGCTACTTGCTCGTCTTCAAATTCACCACGCCCCGCCGCGGTGGTCTAATGTACTCGGCTGCTGACCCGCAGGTCGCGGGATCGAATCCCGGCTGCGGCGGCTGCATTTCCGATGGAGGTGGAAATGTTGTAGGCCCGCGTGCTCAGATTTGGGTGCATGTTAACGAACACCAGGTGGTCGAAATTTCCACAGCCTTCCACTACGGCGTCTCTCATAATCATGTGGTGGTTTAGGGACGTTAATCCCAACATATCAATGAATCAAATCAGTCACCACTGCGGATAACGTCGAGTATAAACTGCAGGTCCTGTGGCAGAATAGTGATTGCATTTCTTTCGGGAATCGATACGCGCATGCATACAATGCTCACGTAGGCGACATTTTATTTTGCCTAATGACGGCGATGAGCAATTGCTCGTGACGTCACTACAAGTATGGACCGCTAAAGGCAGCGTTAGCTCTGCTGAATATTTCGAGCCAGAATTACGCCAACGTGACATAAACTGTTGACGCCGAAAAGAAGAGTGCATGCATGAGTTAGCACTTCATTTTCGCGTACACAAAAAGGGGGACGACTTCCTCCCCTTTGTGGCTATGTGGTAGATCAAGCTGAAATTTGAACGGCATGAAGCCACCTTGTCGAGTTGCACTGCTTGGCGTTCGTTCACTGCGCACCTTGCAAGTCGTCGTTGAGACGCGTATGATTGTTGTGCGGGCCTCGCACCAACAGTGCCGTATCGCTGTCTTATTCAAACTTCCGAAAATGGGCTCTGTGACGTAGCATATCGCCATGCTCATTGCCAGACAGCTGTAACGTGGAGCACATTCCGAGGAACAGTGAACTTCTGGACCAGCTTCTCCCGAGAGTAGCGTAATCGAGTTCTATTTGGCAAATGGAATGCAGAAATCACATTTTATTCCGTCTTATCAATGCTCCGAAATATTCTTCTTAGCTGAACATGTTTTGAGTGCTCGGGATTACATTAATCGCTTCCTGCATTCTACCCAGCTGCCGACATTCGCCCCAAACCATTTGCCTCAGTTTGTTGTGCAGACGTTTGCATTTCTTCATCTTCTGGCCCCTCTCTCAGCAAAACGAACGAGGGCGAAGGGAAGTCGCGCTCGTCCGTGTACTCCTTGCTTCGTTCTTGTTTGTCTCGCGCAATGTTGCTAGGCTGGCCGGCAATTTTGATTGGCCTGTCACTATCAGAGGGTAAGGCCAAATATTTAGATGTGCCGTCAGACACGAAAACTGAGCGACGTCAGCACGAAGTGATATGCACAGTCATCGTGCGATTGCGTCATCGAATGAGGTCACTCTGAGCTCGAGTAAACAAATTCTTCGACCTCATGGACTGAACAGACGACACTTGCCTTTTTTTTTTTCATGTTCATTCATGACAACCGGTTCTTCAGATTCGTGCTGTTGTATTTCTCACGGTACGAAGCAGCAGTGTCGCGTTTTCTCTAAGGGCAGAGCGCCATCTTAGCACTTGGACATGGGTATTCAAATCTTAACGTGCTGTCTCTTACCGCAAAAACTGCGACACTTCACTTAGCTCACGGCGAAAGCTTCCGCTGCAAACCAGCGCAGCCAACGTGTAAAACATCCGCCCCGCGGGTCCCAGGGGCGGCGCGCTCAGGCGTGATATTAACTCAAATGGTGGCGCTTGGTACGCCCTTGGCTTTTTTTTTCTTTCTTTTGCTTCGTTGCCTGCTGAAAGAGAAGCCACACTTTATATTCAAGGTCTCGTTTATTATTTCATTCTGGCGTCGGAAGCTCGCTATACAAAGCCGAGCTCGGCTGTATCCATATCTGAGAGGGTGGGGTAATGTTGCACGACGCACAAAAATGCCGACCTCTCTGGCCTTGCAAGCTCTTCAGAGATGCACACTTAATAGCCTCTCGCGAAGGACTTGTGGCACTGGTGGAGTGATACAGCGACACGATTCCAGCCGGAAATACTGTGTGTCGCAGAGGACGTGGATGTTATCGAAAAACATATAATAATTGTTGTCCCAGAGCCACGATATGATCTTGAGTCATTCTATAGTGGAGGGATGCGGAAATTTCGACCACCGGAATGTGCACCTAAGCACACAGGCCTCAAGCATTTTTGCCTCCGTCGAAAATGCTTCGATCCTGCGGGTCAGAAGTCGAGTGGAGACCAGAGGGGCGGGTCCACATGGCGTTAGAGGAGCTTGCTCGTAGGTGAACGGGGCGTTTCTTGGCAAGGCCATTTATGTGGGAAGGCTTGTTAACGAGTAAGCGCATCATGTACGTCGAAGGCAGGCGTTGACGTTCTGCGCCGGCACTGCACCGTGTTGGCCATGTCGATCGGCACGTTAACGACCTGCCCCTTTATGCCATACTGGCATAGAGCGATGCACTTTCGTGAAGAGTGGCCACTCGAGCCTTTTCGCGGCCGAGCAAGAAAGAGTCTGACCAACCGCTCGATGGCTTACCCGGGCTCGCTTTTACTAAATAGCCGCCTCGGGAAGACCATCAAGACCCAAGTTTGACATCAAATTTGCTTCAAACAAAAAACAAATTGCGGAATTCTCCATATCGGCTCCACATCGTATCCTGCTGATGACGTTTACTGCGTTACCACAAAAATCAGTCAAGTCCAACTATAGATAGTGCTGTCGTTGTGCATTTTTTTCGCAGAAATGGCGCACATCATTGTGGTTTAGATGTGCTACACATATATTCCCTTTCTAGAAGCATGAATGTGTAGCCCAGTGGTAAAGACACTCGCTTTCGTAGCGTGAGGGTACGGGTTCACATCCAAGCATCGGAAAGAAGATAAATTGTTGTTTTATTTATGTTGAAGACATTATCAGCTCTAACCAGCCGCTCGTGGCGGCTGGTTAAAACCGATAATGTCTGCACCATGTCCACCCTTTACGGAAGTATGTTAATTGGCCGCTGCCGTGAGTCAAATGCTTAATTCTCATAAATTGCAGAGATATCAACGGGGTTGGAAGCAAGCAGGTTATATACACGCGTGCACTCATCATGTCACGTGCTGCCCTGCCTACGAATCGACGATCATCGCCCTGCCTGATGGTTTTTTATATGCGAATGTAGCTCTTAGTCGGGCTATGTCAGGCATCCGGCGTTTTCCGCGCGCCGGTAGGCGTTCTCTCCGCCATGTTCTCTGCTCTCACTCCCTCTCCCATTGCAACAGGCGCTGGCGCGCGACTTATCCTCTCCCCTAGCATTCGGAGCATGTGTTGCGAGAGAGTCTAGGAGAGGGCAGGTGCGGCGCTTCGCTGCTACTTCCGTTGCCATTCGTTCTCACTCCTCCCTGCGTCCCACTTTCTTGTTTACTCGCGCCTCACTCTCGACCACTTGGGACGTTAAACCCCACATATCAATCAATCAATCACTCTCGACCGCGCTTGCTGGGCGCCTCGCGAAAACATCCGGAAATGTGTGCTCGAGACGCCGCTGTGAAACGCCAAGCCGAGAACGTTGTTTGTTTTGTTGACGTCATAGTAATTGTAAACCGTGCGGAAACATATGGTCACACACTTTGGGAATGTAGCATGGTGCCGCCGGTGGCGGATATTATGCGTGATCCCTCTCTTGAGCACTGGGACTGTATTGACCAGCTCAGACCCAGTCTAAAGGTCGTGGAGTGGGCCACGCAGGTCGCCGTCAACCTTGGGCTGATGGCCTTTTCACACTTAATCATCCGTAGTTGCTTTCTAACGAAATCAAATTTTTCCATCCGAGACAGCCGACATGCTGCATATTCTTTGGGAGTGCGGTGTTCGCCGCCACTACTCGGACGAGCGTGTGTGTGTACCCCAGCACGACTGGCTGAGCTGTGGCCAGTGGCCCTTCTCAGCCCACGTGCAGTGAACTAAATCTGAGCTGTCCAGCGAGCCAGGGCTATCGCCGAGGACATCGCACGACGCTCCGTGGACGACGGCTCCTGCAGATCTAGCCTGGGCCAGGGATTCTTCGTTGGATTTCTCGTTATTACCTACCATCCATCTACAAGAGCTGGAAACGCATACCGCGTTTCTCGCCACGCGCGTTTTTGTGTCCTAACGTGCGTAACTCAGTTATGAACGCTACGTAATGCATTTGTATTTTCTCACGATTCCCTTCGGGGAGGTAGGGACATTTTTTTCTAGACAGTGGGTGAATATTGAGCGTGCACATGCCGAGTATGCGTGCATTTTTTTGCTGCATTGGCGGCATAATTTTAGAGGCGAAGCTCCTTATGGTCTACGGCAGTCCCGCGTTTCTCCGGCGTGCCCAGCACAACGTATCTACGGACGCTTCGCCCCACTCATCGTCATTCACTCTGTGTGTGAACATGGCCTCATCAAGTGTGAGACCCACGGGGCCACTTCATGCTCCCCCGTAGCAGATGTACTAAGTATTCTGAATCGTTCACCACTTTCTTAAAATAAAGTGTTTCCATTGCCCACATTTTTAGAACAGAAGCTCCTGAAGGCCAACTCCAGCGACTTCTCGAGTCAATGGATCTCCATGAAATTCGCTG